AATGCGATAGTTAATGATCCATCGAGCTATTTCGTGGATTAAACTGTTATAAGAACATATTAAATTAATTCCTATTTAGTTTATATAATTTTCAGTAAGATACTATATCACTACAAAAAAGGAGCGATTCAGAGAGTGATTTTAAAAGCTATTATAAGCATTCTTTATAATCACTAGTTGAATTGCCAATTTTTTCTTAGTGGATCTATTTCTAATAAAGATCTCAAGCAGTGCGATGAACATGATGTCAGTTTATTAGAGTGTTCAGAATAATTTTTTTTTCTATATGCGCTTTCTTTCTTTCATAACATTTAATTATATAACTAAAAGTTAATTCTATGATATATATTCCATATCAAAACCTTTATATAAAGTATAGATTCCTTTTATTCTTATATGTTTTATTAAAACATTCTTGTTATTATATTTGCTTATTATCTAATATAAAAACCCGATACTCTCAATATTATATATTACTATGCCCAGTTGTGAAAACTTTTAGTTCTCTTGTAATACATTTATATATATAATCTAAGACTAGATATCTGCTCTTATCGACTATAGCAATTCGGTAAATAAAAAAAAAACTAATTGCATTTTAAACATGTCAATAATATTTTTAATTTATGAGACTTGCTTTAATAAAAAGCTGGGATAATATAAAGAGTCTCTTGATATGCTCTTATAGTCTATACATATATATATATATAGACCACTTTCTCTTTCATATTCCAACTAAAGTGGTACAGTTTTACAACCTTTCTTTTAAGAAATAATATATTAATATATAACATATGTGTCAAGTAAATTTTTATATAAAATCAATTCACGAAAATGGGTAGCCATATAAGAAATTCGGGTTTTTAAAATGAAAGTCTTTATATTGCTTCTAATCAGAGCAATCAATCCATTGATCTACAATTTTCTATGCATGCTGCTATGTCATCATCTAATGACGAAAGCATAAAATTTTTTCACAGTTATTTAGTAAGAGTGCCAGCCAGACCATCTCTGTTTTCCTCTTGTGCATGGTAAGTCTATTATTTCCTTTTCATTTGTGTTGAGGGAGTAGTATAGTCTATAGATATACTAATCTTGACCTTTTTTCTATGTGAATCAGCGGCGTGTCGGATGGATGGGTGTTGGTGTGGTGTGGATGGGGGGGGGTGTGGTGGGTGTGGTGGGTGTGGTGGGTGTGGTGGGTGTGGGGTAGTTTAGTTTCCCCTCTCTAGTTAGTTTACGTAGTGGGTAGTCTTTAGATATAGCTTTCGTTTATCCCTTTAGCTTAGCTTAGATTGATAGTTTCGTTCCCTGTTCACCTTTTATTTTTTAAGCCCATAGCTAGCCTCACACCCCAGCGTTCCCGATCTCCTCCCCACTCCGTTCTCTTCCACGAAGTCAGGACAGGTCTACGCCCTGTGGAGGATGGATCCGCCTTTATAGGTGGTGAACTAAGATTCTGACGATATATTTGAATATTAATAAAATTTTTTTTTAAACCATTTTTGTCTGCCCATAAATACAATGTCTGCTTTACAAATGATTGAGAGAAACACTTTATTATTAGAAGAAAACTGAATAAAACAATGCGTGAGAACAATAATATGAGTTTATTTTTTATTTAAAAATATCAAGTTTTAATAGTAGTGTATTTTTTATATGGGCGAGAAGTGGGCGGTGTGAGTGGGTGGTCCGTGTGGGTGGTCCGTGTGGGTGGTCCGTGTGGGTGGTCCGTGTGAGTAGTCAGTGTGACAAAGTTTTGACATTCATGGCGCATGCTAATGACGAGAGATTAACATCGCGAGACTTTTTGTTAGGTGGCGTCCGCTTGGTCTAGACCCAGTCGCGTAAAAGTATACTGAAAAGCGTGAGCTTTGAAAATTATGTCCGATGGGATGGAATTAGATGGGATGGGATGGAATTGAATGGCATCATTAGGATCGAAGAAGGTGTCGGAATTATGGTGGTATGAATACTATATGACTTGGAGAGTTGAAGGTCAGCTCTGAGAATGGTGGCATATAACACTTCAGGTATAGAGAAATATTGTATATGACTTCCGAGTGTTGAGGTTTTATTATATGGCCATTATTTCGATTTTTATTTTTCAGTGATTATAAAATAAAAGAATAATATTGTTGGTGGTGGCGATTCTGGTAGTTTTGTAAAGTTGATGGCGGGATGGTGGGATGGCGGGATGGAGGGAATGTAGGAAGAGGATTGACGCCATCGTTAAATATAATTTTTATTTTATTTTGGTTACGGCGCAGTGAAGGCCACTTTAATATACCGTCCTCTCTGGGCGATTGTAAGTGATCACAAGACGGTCTTTCAACCTATGTATGGGTAACAGTATCCCTGTCAATGGACCCTGCTATGTTCCTTTAGCTTAGGGATACACAAAGCTGTCTGCGCAACCAATTGGTAATACCAATTTACAAAAAAGTGCATTCTGTCCGAATTATTGAGTAGAATCCTTAGGTTGTAAAAAGACACAAAAAGAAATAGACAATATGTATATTTTGTATCAGTGCAGCAATTGTATTGGTAGACAATTGGGCGAGTGTGCGAGTGTGCGTATGTGCGTGTGTTGGATAAAAGAAAAGAAAAATATATGATAGTAAGCCCAAAATATGATAGCAGGTTATATATATATAGCTTGGGAGTAGCTTCTGGTGTGTAACCGTATATTGAATAAAAGGAAAATAAATATATATGATAGTGTATCCAAAATATGATAGAGACTCGTATATATATATATTTTGGGAGTAGCTTTTGGTGTGTGTCCGTGTGTTGAATAATAATAATAAAATATACAAGATAGTATATCCAAAATATGATAGAGGCTCATATATGTATATAGTTCGGGAGTAGCTTCTGGTGTGTGCCAGTGTGTTGAATAATAATAATAACATATATAAGATAATATAATCCAAAACATGATAACAGTTTATATATATTTAGTTCGAAAGTTACTTTTGGTTTATGAATATCACCCTTTTCATTTTGACTTGGTAATATTTTTCTGTAGGCTCTTGCTTTTTTGGTGTAAAATGTTTGATGCTTTTTGATCCAATTTCATTAAGTATAATTATAGAAGAATGTGTATGGATCTGGATAGTGTGTTATTTATGAAACATACTAGAAAACATAGTTTAAATTATATTATTATATATAGCTTCTATCATACATTAAAAGTATTAACAAAAATATAAATAACAATGCGATTGTGAATGATTTGTAAATATATACCGTGGAATAAAAATCGGCTATAGAAGTATATTCCAATATATCTTGTATTATTATCTATAGATTAAACCCAATCTAATTTTAATTAGAATCTTGAGGAGACAGGATATATGAACAATTTTGGAATTATTTGAGAGAGGTATGATACAAGCTATATATTTATAAGAAAGCAAAACTATTATTACTAGCATATATGTTTTTACGATATTATTATCTTCTGGATTCCGACGGCCCAAGATTGCTGGAAATATCCCTTCAGTCCAGATCGAGCTCAATAGGCGGCCGATCCGGACAGGACCATATTGCTGATATAACATATTCGGTTTTTATTGGTTAACTGAAATTGTAGTTCTTATTAATCATACATATGTTTTATTTTTATACTGGGCCGACTTCTGTCTACTATGAGATGTAATATTATATGAATGACGATTCCCAAAAGGAATGAATATTCTCAAAAAGGATGACGGGATGGATGAATGGGGGAATGTAGAAGGAGGATGCAAGCCACCGTAAAAAAAAGTTTTTTTTGTTATGATTATGGCGCAGTGAAGGCCACTTTAATATATCATCCTGTCTGAGCGATTGTAAGTGAGAACTAGGCGGTTTTTAAGTCTATGTATGGGGAACAGTATCCCTGTCAATTGATTCTGCTATGTTATTTTAGCTTATTGATACACAAAAACCGCCTGCGCAACCAATTGGTAATAACAGTTTACAAAAAAGTGCATTCTGTCCGAATTATGGATTATAATCCTTAGTTTGTAAGAAAATATAAAAGGAACATACAATCAAGTATATTTTGTACCAGTTCAGCCAATATATTGGTAGACAATTGGGTGAGTGTGCGTATGTGTGTGTGGTGGATTAAAGAAAAGACATATATATAGTATCTGTCACACATTTAATATATTAATAAAAAGAAAAAAACAATGCGATAGTTAATGATCCATCGAGCTATTTCGTGGATCAAACTGTTATAAGAACATATTAAATTAATTCCTATTTAGTTTATATAATTTTCAGTAAGATATTATATCACTACAAAAAAGGAGCGATTCAGAGAGTGATTTTAAAAGCTATTATAAGCATTCTTTATAATCATTAGTTGAATTGCCAATTTTTTCTTAGTGGATCTATTTCTAATAAAGATCTCAAGCAGTGCGATGAACATGATGTCAGTTTATTAGAGTGTTCAGAATAATTTTTTTTTCTATATGCGCTTTCTTTCTTTCATAACATTTAATTATATAACTAAAAGTTAATTCTATGATATATATTCCATATCAAAACCTTTATATAAAGTATAGATTCCTTTTATTCTTATATGTTTTATTAAAACATTCTTGTTATTATATTTGCTTATTATCTAATATAAAAACCCGATACTCTCAATATTATATATTACTATGCCCAGTTGTGAAAACTTTTAGTTCTCTTGTAATACATTTATATATATAATTTAAGACTAGATATCTGCTCTTATCGACTATAGCAATTCGGTAAATAAAAAAAAAACTAATTGCATTTTAAACATGTCAATAATATTTTTAATTTATGAGACTTGCTTTAATAAAAAGCTGGGATAATATAAAGAGTCTCTTGATATGCTCTTATAGTCTATACATATATATATATGGACCACTTTCTCTTTCATATTCCAACTAAAGTGGTACAGTTTTACAACCTTTCTTTTAAGAAATAATATATTAATATATAACATATGTGTCAAGTAAATTTTTATATAAAATCAATTCACGAAAATGGGTAGCCATATAAGAAATTCGGGTTTTTAAAATGAAAGTCTTTATATTGCTTCTAGTCAGAGCAATCAATCCATTGATCTACAATTTTCTATGCATGCTGCTATGTCATCATCTAATGACGAAAGCATAAAATTTTTTCACAGTTATTTAGTAAGAGTGCCAGCCAGACCATCTCTGTTTTCCTCTTGTGCATGGTAAGTCTATTATTTCCTTTTCATTTGTGTTGAGGGAGTAGTATAGTCTATAGATATACTAATCTTGACCTTTTTTCTATGTGAATCAGCGGCGTGTCGGATGGATGGGTGTTGGTGTGGTGTGGATGGGGGGTGTGGTGGGTGTGGTGGGTGTGGTGGGTGTGGTGGGTGTGGGGTAGTTTAGTTTCCCCTCTCTAGTTAGTTTACGTAGTGGGTAGTCTTTAGATATAGCTTTCGTTTATCCCTTTAGCTTAGCTTAGATTGATAGTTTCGTTCCCTGTTCACCTTTTATTTTTTAAGCCCATAGCTAGCCTCACACCCCAGCGTTCCCGATCTCCTCCCCACTCCGTTCTCTTCCACGAAGTCAGGACAGGTCTACGCCCTGTGGAGGATGGATCCGCCTTTATAGGTGGTGAACTAAGATTCTGACGATATATTTGAATATTAATAAAATTTTTTTTTTAAACCATTTTTGTCTGCCCATAAATACAATGTCTGCTTTACAAATGATTGAGAGAAACACTTTATTATTAGAAGAAAACTGAATAAAACAATGCGTGAGAAAAATAATATGAGTTTATTTTTTATTTAAAAATATCAAGTTTTAATAGTAGTGTATTTTTTATATGGGCGAGAAGTGGGCGGTGTGAGTGGGTGATCCGTGTGGGTGGTCCGTGTGGGTGGTCCGTGTGGGTGGTCCGTGTGATCGA